CTAGATGCCCCTCAACCGAAGAATGGATAGAGAAAATGTGGTACATTTACACAATGGAGTACTACTCAGTGGAAAAAAAACAATGGAATCTTGAAATTTGCAGGAAAATGGATGGAACTAGAAGAAACCATTCTGAGGAGGTAACCCAATCACAAAAAGACAAACATGATATGTACTCACTCATATGTGGATTTTAGACATAGAGTAAGGGGTTACCAGCCTACAATCCACACTGCCAGAGAAGCTAGTAAACAAGGAGGACCCTAAAAGAGACAAACTTTGTCCTCTGGAGAAGAGGAAAGGGTCACCATCCTCTGAGCAAATTGAGGACTTGGGAAGAGGGGGGAGTAAGCTATGAGAGTGAGAAGGGAAGAAAAGGAAGGATGCAGAAGTCACAAGGAAGCAGAAATTTTGAGTCAGGTGTAGATTCGAAGAAAGGACATATGATAGGTAGGATTTTAGTTGGGGGATGGTAGAGGAGGGAAGGAGGGAGAAGGGAACTGGGATCGTCATGTAATTCAATCTTGTTTGTAATTCAAATATATTTAAAAAAACAAAAAAGAAAAAGAAAAAGGGGGTAGGGCATGGAGAGTCCATGTTCAAATAAAACTGAAAACAACTAAAAAAAATGGTTTTCACCTGAGAACTATTCTGCCCCCTTAAAGGACATCAGGCAACGTCTAAAAACAGTTTTTGGTTGTTGCTACAACTGAAGAAATGTGAATCTAGAGGTCAGGAGCCAGAAATGCTGTTCAACATTCTACAATGCACAGACAAGCCCTAATCAAGCCAAACATCTGCCTGAGAATGACTATTGGGTACGTTAAAAAGGGTCCAGTCCATCATTGGAATACTAGCATCAAGTCTGCTTGCTACTCCACATGACCTAATATACTCAATATTGGGAAGACTGAATTTACTTCATTTGGGGGTTGGTTAAGAATAAGATAGATAGCCAGGTGGTGGTGGTGCACGCCTGTAATCCCACTACTCCGGAGGCAGAGGCAGGCGGATCTCAGTGAGTTCAAGGCCAGCCTGGTCTACAGAGCGAGTTCCAGGACAGACTGGCCTGATACATAGAGAAACTCTGTCTCAAAAAAAAACCAAAAAAAGAATAAGACAGAAAAAAATTAGAGTTTTTATTTTACTTTTAATTATTTTCTGTGTATGGATGTTTTGCCTCCATGTATGTCTGTGGGCCTTGTGTATGCAGTGCCTTTGGAGGCCAGAAGAGGGCATCAGATCCACAGGAGCTGGAATTAAAGCCAGTTGTCAGCCACCACTGAGACTAGAACTTGGGTACTCTGGAGGAGCAGCCAGTGAGTGCTCTTAACTGCTGAGCCTCCACGTTTTTTTTTTTTAAATACATTATAGAAACACTGAAAGAACAGCATAAATATCCATCTTACCTTTAGCTATAGTCACTCAGAGCCCAAATTTAGCCACATAGTTTTTTTAAAAACAATTTTTTGTTTGTATATTTACTTAGTTTTGTAGATGTGGATATGTGTGGGCACACATGCTATGGCACACTTATAGAAGTCAGAGGGGAGCTTGTGGGACTAAGTTCTCTCCTTCTTCCATGTGGGATCCATGTGCTGAAGGCAAGGTCATCAAGCTTGATAGCAAATGCTTTTACTAACTGAGTCATCTTGCTGGCCCCTACATACTTACTATACATTGTGTGCACACATATGCTTCATCTTTGTTTTGCTGACACCATGATACTTAGCAAGCATATCCTACCTAACCACAATACTATTTCCATATCTAAGAAAATTAAATGCCTATAGATACCTTCACACTCCTAGTTTCAAAACTACCTTTATAGCCCAATTCACATCAATCCCATATCTAATCAAGGTTCTCACATTGTATTAATTATCTCATCTCTTTAGATTATTTTAATCTAAAAGAGTTCCCTCATCTGAGGAAACCTAGCTAGTTATCTTCTAAAATGTCTTGCATTTTGGACTTGGTTCATTGTTTCCTTGTGGTGTCATCTAACTTTTTTTCCTATCTTGGTTCAGTTATCACACAGATGGAAAAATTTCCCCTTTTCCACATTTAAAACATAAAAGAACAAAGACAGGAAAGGAAGGAGGCAGAAGGCAAGAGAGGCAGCCTGTAATTATAATGCTCACCTCCCCTCTTTGGTGTTTTTGTTTGTTTCTTGAGACAGGGTTTCACTATGTAGTCTTGGCTGTACTGGAACTTGCTCTGGAGACCAGGCTGGCCTCGAACTCACAGAGATCCAAATGTCTCTGCCTCCTGAGTGCTGGGATTAAAGGCATGTGCCACCACTGCCCATCCCTCTTTTGTGAAATGGTCTCAAGCAGCCCAAACTGGTCCTGAACTCATTATGTAGCTTAGCATGGCCTTGAACTCCTGAACTCCTCTTGCCTCTGCCTCCCAAGTACAGGGATTACAGGTGTGCACTACCTTGCTCAGGCTTCTCGTTTTCGACAGATGCATTAACAGTTGTTAAATTACCTGCATTATTCTTTGTGGGATTTATTTCTTTCTTTTGGTGCTAGAAATGGAATCCAGGTCCTCAAACATACTAGGCAAGCACTCTTGCCACTCTTACCCCAGCCCCCTTATTCTTTTTTTGATCCAAACTGTCCCCAAATTTTGCCAATGCAAACTCCTTCAAGCTGATTCTTTTGACCTGACATAACCTCTTCAGTCTTTGAGTACTTTCTGTAGGCATCTCTAGTTTTGTTTTTTAATTAATTTTAAGTGCATTGGTGTGAAGGTATCAGATCCTCTGGAACTGGAATTACATACAGCTGTGAGCTGCCATCTCAGTGCTGGGAATCGAACCTGGGTCCTATGGAACAGCAGTCAATACTCTTAACCACTGAGCCATCTCTCTAGCCCTAGCATCTCTGTTTTTTTAAGACTTGTTTGTATGGCATTTATTTCCTGAAATTCCCATAACATTTGCTCACTGGTTTTAGTTCTACTTTTTCCAGCAACAAAACATTTTACTACTTCCATGTGAATTTCACGTTGTATTATTTAAAGACAGATTGGTTGAAGCAATTCTGTAAGACTTCTTTACTAGTATTATACAAATACATAAACCCTTGATTCATATTACTGACCTCAGCACTAACCCTTACACTTTAGGAATCCACTAGACTAATTGCTCAGTTCCATTCCTGAAAGTTGATGAGAGTTAACCTAATTTCCAAGATTTCATTTGAAAGTTCCTATATCAAAACATTTTCTGAGGTAGACTCAAGCACTGGATTAAGTCCTTGCCACTACTACAATAACTAAGAAAAGGATATGAAATATTGTGCTAACACTTAATAGCTCAATTACACAAAGCATTACTGATTAAAATTATCCTAACAGTCCTCCAATGCTTTTTTCATGCACAATTTTGGAGTTCATTATAATTTATTTATACAAAAAGAACACACATACAGATGTGCCCGGTCTGTAGGTAAACCTAATTAGCATTCCATATTGCTAGTCGTACCAGCTTAGAGCCTTGAGCAAACAATGTCCCTACTCCCAACAGAGAGTACTTTGGTCTCCAGAGTCAGTATGCCCATAGGAAAATACAGGCAAGCAGCAGCCCTTCAGCAGGGCACAGGGATTCTAGTTCCTCTCTCATGCATATTACTTCAATATCTGAAACTTACTGGTGGTATTCACTTACTAGGGAAAATTATAATTTTTCATGAGAAGTTAATTATATGAAAACAGAAATAGTGACTTTATATTTCTTACTTCTTTTTCAGTACAGCCAAACAATTGTACTGCAACAGTACAGAGGCAAAATAGTAATAAAATGAAAACTAAAATAATACAGAAATGTGTACTAACAACACAAACAGAAAAAAAGTGAGTTATACAGGGCTTCTTGGGTATTGGGAAAGAAACAAAACAAAAGAGGAAGATAAGGCAAGATAGAAGAAGAGAGTCAATCAAGAAATAACCACAAAAGTACCCCAGTCATCCAGAAAATACCTTTGTTCAGGAGAAGAAAATAGTCAGATGCCTTTTCTCGGAAAACCCGTTGAGCATCTTCCGCTTTCATTGACATTTCCTTTGTCTGCACTAGGAAAAACCCCTTACCAACCATCTGTGGAGAATAAAATTTCATTCAGATTTTAGAATGAACTTCTGGGATGAAAACATGGTTTTGTTATTTGAGCATTTTCCTGTATACAATGCAACACAGCATTCTAATTTTTGTTTTAGTTCTGAGTAATTCAGACTCTTCTGTCACTTCTTTACAACTATTTAATGTTAGTTTAATTTGATGATACAGCAAATGTTCAATGAAAAATACCATAGTTCATTACAATCAACATTATTTGTTAAATATAATAAAGATGTTAAAATAAAATGGAAAAATACTACCTCATGTTAATTTTAAAAGTCATCACATCAATTTATGTAGTATTGTGCAAGAATGATAGACCACACATATGGGAGCACTTACTATGTACATGAAGTTTTCTGAACACTATACACATATATATATATATATATATATATATATATATATATATATATATACACACACACATAATACATTTAACCTGTAATGAGATGAGTACCACCACCGTCTTCCTTAAATAGATGAGACAACTAAGATGTCACATGGTTAAGAACTTCCCAAAGGTCATGTAACTATTAGACAACAGAGCTCTGATTTTAATTCAAGTTATTGTGATGATGAATTAAAGAATTTTTTTTAGGCTGGGTAGTGGTGGCCTACACTTTTAGTCTCAGCACTCAGGAGGCAGAGGCAGGGGGATCTCTGTGAGTTCCAAGACAGCCTGGCCTACACAGAGAAACCATGACTCAAAAAAAACCCCACAAATGAGAATTCTTTTTTTTAAATCAGTTACCTACATATTTTTACAAATTTGTATTTACTTGATTGCCAACATCTTCCAGTTTATTCTATAAAATCAGTGGTAACGCTCATAATACTTCATGCTATGGTTATATTACTATCACACCATCAAATTGAATGAAATTCAAATCCTTTATCAGGACTCTTACTGTGGCCTTACTGCTAGATGTTAACTATAAAGTCTTAAAGTATCAGAATGAATCTTACCACTGTTTCTAATTTTATATACTATTCTTCACCCATCATTTTATAGTCAGATATATAAACTAAAAAAAAATATGCTTAAATGGCCAAGCATGTTGACTCACGCCTATAATGCTAGCCCTCAGGAGGTGAAGGCAGGAGTATCAAGAATGAAGACCATCTTCGGCTACATACCCAGCTCAAGGCCAACACAAGCTACATAAGACATTTTCTCAAAAAGAGAAAGATTATTGAAAATACCATTATCTAAAACTAAACATGAACTATGAAGCTATATGTATCTTAATATTTTCACTGAAGATATTTAGAGACTCTTTTACATGCAAATCATATTTCTGAAGACTTTTAAATTGTGATGACTAACAAACTTCAATTATAAAATATACTTAAATAATTCAAGCCTTGTTTACTCTAATTTATCCCATAAATATATGTGATTCATATAAAAGCAAACAAGTAATTTTGGAGGTGAGCAAAACTAAGTCTCAGTAACTCCCCTAAACTCCCTATGCAGTGTGCTTTCTGCTTTAACCAGCCTTTCCAGAACACCTAATCCTCTCAAGTTTCATACTCCCTACCTCAGAAAACCATATGTTGTTTGTGAAAACAAAAAAAAATGCAATTTAATGCTATTCCTCAGCAAACTAGAGTTAGTAACTGTATTTCCAAGTCTAAGCTGTCCTAATACAGTTGTGCTGTAGAAAAACTTAACTTTTACGTTTTTAGAACTAACTATTTTCTCTGATAACTCAAGTATTATTTAAAAGAATATACAATTTCTCAACATAACATTTAGGTCTTTCCCTTTTCCTAGCTAGCATCATGCATTGAGTTGTGATGTGATAAAGATCCCCAGTATGTTAGTTGGGCTCCTTATGCCTTTGTATTCATTAATGGTTTGGGAGGATGCATGGAGTAAACTCATTGAAAGCTCAATCATGTATGAACCAACGAATTCAAGTATCACTGGTCACTTGCCAGTATTATGCTGTATACAAAGAGATTTTACACATTCACTTGGGGAAAAAAAGCAAAAGAAAGTAATAGCCATAGGACTTTTCAGAAAATCAACAAAAAAATCAAGTTCACATCAAATGGAAAAGTCTGGGACCCATGTGCATTTTACCCTTCCCAATTAAACATTCGAATTAACTAGGGATTCTGTGGAGAGGGAAGCTGATTGACTATGGGACTTAGGCTGCCTGCAAAGAGTCACTTTAATCTATTCCAAAATTATCATCTTAAATGAACAAAGTGCTTTATCTGTGTCAACTCCTGATTATCTACCAAAATGGAGTTTAACTTGGATAATTAATCTTTTGAAAATTCTATGTAGTAAAAATTCACCAAACAAAAGAAATTTGCCATATAACATAATGAAGATTATTTACTTTTGAGATATAGAATTAACATGTGACTAGATAGTGCAAAGGCTACAAGCATATTTTTCTACATTTTACAAAACTTACAGCATGCTTCTTATCATACTGGCATAACAAAAGAAAACATCAACATCTTAAACCAGACACAATGGTTTAAGGCTTTGGGATGCAGAAGCAGGAGGACTGCTGAAATTCAAAGACACAGGCCAGGTAGGGCTACAGAAAGAGACCCTGGGTCAGAAAACAACAAAAAAGGAGAACAGAACAGTCTTAAAATTACACTGTAGCTTCTATAGTTTGAAAAGCTGTATTTCAAATATACTTTGTAGATTTCAGACATGGGTTCTCTGTATTACAGATATACAGTTATAGAGAGGTATTCACTTTTACTTTCTGTCAACAAAATTCTTTTTGGTTCGCTTATAATCCCTTCAGAAAGAAACTTACCTCTTCACCTTGGAAGCTTGAATTTTAGGTTTAAACAGAATTCTATTGGTTAAATTCTGATCAATACATCTTCCTACTGGTACACCTACCAACCAAGGATCTTCTGCTTCTGGAGCCTTAACCTTTCCTTCCTCAAATGCTTTCCTAGGGGAAGCCACTATGCACGAACTCTTCTCTAATGAACTAACTGAAAGCCACCACTCATAAGTCTTGGCAATTTTGCCATTCCAATTCCCATCTTATTCATATTACTTGTATTTTCCAGCCTCCTATCAATGGCAATGGGGCAAGAGAACATAAGGAGCCCAATATGGATGACACTGACAAAACAGGGTCTAAAAGTTGTATTCTTAAATGCCATTTCCAATTTCTAACCAATTAAAACTCCTAAGAAATGTCCTCAGTACATCACTACTGTTGTGAGCACGTGTGGAAATTTATGATGAAGAATAAAAATTCTTTGAGGCAAAGAACTGTATCTATATGTCTTAATTTCCAGCATCACCTACATTCTATTATTTCAAAGTTGCAACTAATTATAAGGAATTTAAGCAAAGATATGGAAAACAAACAAGCATCACATAATGAATGAAATATGGTAACAGCATAACCTGCATATAATTGGTGCTAACGAATGCTTACTAAATTGGATTATCTTAAAAAGTTGTCTTGAAAAAGGATTTTGAGGCCCAAGCAATCTGCTTCTAAGGCAAACCTTGTAGAGCCAAGGAGTTGGGGGACTATAGTTTGAGGGTTGTCAGTATTTCTAATAATTAATTTGTAAACAATAACAACAAAACTGGGCCAGGCAATGGTGGCGAATGCCTTTAATCCCAGCACTTAGGAGGCAGAGGCAGGTAGATCTTCTTGAGTTTGAGGCTGGCCTGGTCAACAGAGCGAGTACCAGGAGAGGCTCCAAAACAACACAGAGAAACCCTGTCTCGAAAAATCAAAACCAAGTAATAAAAAAATAACAACAAAACCTAGAAATTCTACAAAGTAGCATGGTCCTATCTATGTCTATTTTTCTTCTCTTTCTCCTTACCTCATCAATTAGTTTCCTGGCATTTGCTGTTGCATAATCATCGGCAAATAATACCACTAGGCAAGACTCATCACTGCTCTTCTGTCTCTGACCCCGGGATACGGGAACAATGCTTCTATTGGCTTCGGTGGAAATTCGTACAGCTTTGAATTCTTCAGCAGTTGGAATAGGAACATAGTCTTGAACCACAGCACTTTCTGGAAGAATGCTCCAGTTGAGCTCTCCTGACACAGGTGTAAAATCATGAACGTGACTCCATATGTTATTGAAGATACTGAGCCCTGCATCTTTGAATTGGGCTGCTAATTCAGGGTAGTACCACTGAAAACACCCAAACTTGATATTTGTGGAAGATTCAATAATGGGTTGAGTGGCACAGCACAGAAAGACTTCCAACTTTCTACAGTCCCTCACACGAAACTGCTGGCAAGCTAATGTACACTTGCAATCTCTACAATTTCGGAAAAACACACTGCCTTTCACTGGTCCCAAAAAAAGTATGCAGTTGGTGCAGTCATCAATGGTAATGGTAGCTGAGTGATCAAAAATATAGATGTTACAGTTCTCACAGTCTTGAATGACAAATTGTTGTCCTGCCACTTTTCCAGGTAAGCGACCTACTGTTTCATCCTTCAATCCACTGAACATGTAGTCTTTTGGATCAACCTGCAGGAACAAAGCGCAAGACCTTGAGTATTGTTAGCATTATTCACCAAAACCAAATAAGTGCCTATGGGATGCCAGACACAACTATTAATACTAAAACTTAACTTCCCAATCTCACTGATTTGCAGTAAACTAGAAAATGATAGGACACATCTTTTTTCCCATTAAATAAAAAAGAATGAGGGAGGAAATGGGGGAAGGAAATCAAAGTTCAAGGCACATTCACCAAGTGCTTGGATCTTGTTCCAACCATTTCAATTGTAAATATGATTTTAGGCAACACACACAAAGCTTAGAATCTCAAGGACTTTTTTGTCATTTTCTAAGTGTGATGGCAACTCTGCAGTTACAAGAGGGGTGGTGAGCTTATCAATTTTAAATAATATAAAGTTTATAACCTTGGTTAATATGTATCTACCTCCCCAAAAATGGATCCACTCTTTTTCTGCTATCAAATTTCATGCCTAGGCATGCAAAGCTAAAAGGAAGCCTGTGTGATAATATGATTTGGGTCTTCCTGTGAGTTAACCCAGGTGGCATATCATTATTGCTCCTATCAACAATCTTTCAGCTTATTTGGGATCTGTGTATGGAGTTAGTATGGAGTGCAAGGATAAAGAATATATTTTTTTAAACAATTATCCTAACAGAATAGCTATGTAAGTCAGGCATAGGGGTACACACCTGCAATCTCAGCACTTGGGAAGCTGAGGCAGGAAGATTACTAGGAGTTCAAGTCTAGCTAGCGCTACAGAACAAGGGTCTACCGCTAGCGAAATAAAGCTTATATCTTCTGCATCTATCCTAATCAGAACATATTGTTTCAGGTTGGGTGTAGCAAGGTATTAAAATGTGTGTTTAGAATATACAAGGCCTTGGGTCCATCCCTGTAACTGAAAATTAAACATTAAAACATACAGATACATACTGATTTGCTTTTCCTGGTGCTTCAAATTTTTCAACTTCTATATCTTTAAAAAATTCTTAAGTTGAATATACTTATTTGTCCTACTACAAAATGATATTTGGGTGTAAGTTTCTACATTCTGAGATTTTCATATACCACAGACAATGGAAGAATATAAGAACACACAAGCCTTGATATTTTGGTATTAAATCTACAAATTTTAATCAGACATTGACTGAGCTATTCATCCAGTGTAACTTTTCAACTTTTGCCATCCTACTAGATAGTATAAACTATGCCTCACACAATCTTAAGTAGTATGCCTAAAATATGCCACTTTTTAAAATTTTAACTGTGCTGCCAAATTATAGTCAGAGGCGAGAAATGTAACTCAGAGATGGTGTGTACTTAGTGTGCCTGAGGCTCTGAGTCTGATCTGCAGCACATACCCCTAACACACAGACACACACACAGACACACACACAGACACACACACACAGACACACACAGACACAGACACACACACAGACACACACACACACACACACACACACACACACACACACACACACACGAGAAGAAGGGAGAGGGAGAAAGGAAGGCAGTGTGTTAATAAAAGGCCAGTCTGACAGTTTAAAACAATAGTTGGAAATGTATTAGCTTTTAATCTATTAAAATTATTTTAACTGCTTATGAATAAAATATTTCATACAAAACTATATACAAGAAACAGGTTCCAGGGCTGGAGGGATAGCTCAGAGGTTAAGAGCGCTGGCTGGGCAGCTCTTCCAGAGGTCCTGAGTTCAATTCCCAGCAACCACATGGTGGCTCACAACCATCTATACTGAGATTTGGTGCCCTCTTCTGGTGTGCAGACAAAAAAAACCCACTGTATATATAATAAATAAACATAACCTTTAAAAAAGCAGGTTCCTATAGATACAGTATATATATTGTATATTTACACAGTAACATGTAAGCATGTTAATTGTTTAGATTAACTTAAAGTGACTTATTCCATCATACACAATATTATATTTATACAATTTTACATAATGTCCTAGGATGAGCACTGGTCTATAGTATGAGGTAATAAGAGGTATTTATTTTCTGGCTTCAATTTTGTCACCTATGAGCAGCATAATCTTAAAAAGATCACTTTACCCTTCTGGATCTTCAGTCACTAAACCAACATTTGAATACCCAAAATGAACCAGATACTATTTTAAACACTAAAAGGGAAGTAACATATACCTACGTAGACCATTTAAACAACCTAACCATGTAGTGAGAGGTGCTGAGAATCTAGAAATACAGAGGAAGGACATATGGGGGCAACACAAGACTTACTATACAAAGTGAGTACGAATAAATTGGAGTTTACTGGAAAGATTGGGAAAGAAAGACCTTACCAGACAAAGGTAACATTGAATGAAGTAAAATTCTTCAGTTAGCAGGAAGAAAATGGAAGGGAGCTTGCTATTACCAGAGATACTGGAGTAGTAGTAGGTGAAGCTAGAGAATTAGGCAGGGGTCATGGTATAGTTTGAAAGCTATAGACAACAGAAGCCACAGAACAATTTAAATATGCTAAACATACATTTCAGAAAGATTAGTAAGAATATGGAAATGTGGAGTGTGAATCTGAGACACTTAGCCAGAAAGGACTGAAATAGTTAGAAGGATGGATAATTTGAGAAATGTGGAAGAAATAGAATGAGCAAGTGTGCTGAGGCAGGAAGGTTGTCACTGTGAGGCCAGCTTGTCGCTGCACAATGAGACCTTATGCAAACAAACAAAAGAGGAAACTATCTAAGAGAAGAGGCTGAGGTACTGCTCAGTTGTACAGCACTTACCTAACATCCACAAGGCCCTTGATTGTATCCCTAGCACTTCCAAATGAGGTAAACTAAAATATAAAATGAAATCTAAGGATTTTTTTTATTTTGAAAACAATCTTATTTTACATACCAATCCCAGTTCCCTCTCCCTCCCATCTTCCTGCTCCTGGCATCTTCTCCCCCGCTTCCCTCCCCCTCCCCCATCTACTTAAGGAATATTTTCTAACACTACTACTCTCAATTATTTATAGGTTAAAAAAGACCCCAAAATTAAAATCTAGAAATACACGTAAATGGAGTTCTTAATTGGTCAGTGTAATAGAAACCCGGAGTTAGATATAGAGGGAAATGCTGAGAGATCAGAGAGAGGGAGCAAGCCATGATCACATGGCTCAACCCACAAGAGAGTGGTTCCTGTTTCTCTCTGCTTATATCCTGTTTCTGCCCAGCTAGCTCACTTCCTGTCTGTCTGAATAGACTTCCAGACCTCTATGGTTAGCTAGTGACAAGCTCCATTTTCTGACTTTCAGATAGCTTTTTTTGTACAAGCAAGATTTCACCACAAATACAGGCTTGGGGGGATGGCTTGGTTGGTAAAGCAAACACACATATGTACATACAATAAATAGGTTGTTGCAGGAGAATCACCAGCTCAGGTCCAGCCTATATTAAATAGCAAGACCCTACCTCAAATAGGAAAAACCAAACTAAGCCATGTACTAGAATACAAAAGAGCCTCAGGGAGAAAAAAGATAATTCTAGCACAGTGACCTAAATTCAACCTCCAGCAGTTATGTAAAAAGTTGGGTGTGGTGGCATAAACTTATCACCCCAGCACTGCAGCTACAAGGCAGATCCTTGTAGCTCACTGGGCCACTGCCTAGCATACCTAGAGAATTCCAGGGCACCTGCCTGTCTCAAAAGAGGGTATGTTTGTGGATGATGTCTGAGGAATGTTCTCTGGCTTCCATAGGCACATACATGTAGTTGCACATACTCACATATATACATGTACAAAAAATAGATAAAACTAGAAATACGGAAGACCTGAACCCATAACAAAAAATCTTGAATTATACATCTAACAAGAGTAAAACTACCTTTTCCATAAGCACACAATGAAAAAAATATATATGAAACTGGGGGATTGGAGGGATGGCTTAGTAGTAAGAGCACTTGCTGCTCTTGCAGAGGACCCAGGTTTGAGTCCCAGCACCCACATGGCAGCTTACAGCTGTCTATAGCTCTAGTTCCAAGGGATCCAATGCCCTCCTTGGGTACCAGGAATGCATGTGGCACACAGACATACATGAAAGCAAAACAAATGCTCACATAAAATAAATGCACTTAATTTTTTTAAAAAAATGAAGCTAGGTGTGGTGCCACACACCTATAATCTTAGCGCTTGGGAGGCTCATTCAGATATGAGTTCAGATCCCCAGAATTCACATTAAGCCAGACATGGCAACACACATGAGTAATTTTAAAACAAGAGACAGCAATAGGAGGATCCCTGGAAGCTCACAGGCCAACCAGCATGGCCTATGCAGCATCAAACAACAAAAGACTGTCTCAAATGAGGTGGAAAGTCAGGACTAAAAAGACACTGTCTCAAATGAGGTGGAAAGCCAGGACTGACACTCAAGGTTGTCCTCTGACCTTCAAAAGCACACCAAGGCATGTGCAGGCCCACACCGTGGTCAAACAAATTAACATACATACCCCCCCCACACACCCACACATCCCTTTATAAATCATTACTACTAGTTAAGATTTCTTGTTGCAAACACCAACATAAAAATCTATTGCTAAATTGCTGAGCTTTTTTCTTAATAGGCTTGAGTATGCTGTGGACTTATGTTCATCTCTCCCCCATTTTTAATGCTACTGGGGACTGAACCTCAGGAATAATGCATGCTAGGCAAGGGCTCTACCATTGAGCTGTCTCTCCAGTGAACATTTTATTCCTTTACTAAGCAGCCAGCAAAATTTTCATTAAATTTTATTTGCATAGTTAACTTCAGTAATGATATTCTGAGATACAATAATGGAATTTGTTCAATTTAATGGAAATCCAGTTTACAAAAAAAGAGGTCTTCTTAAAGAACAGCTCTTAACAGATAACTAAGCATTAACACGCACATTAGGCGTTTTCTCTTAAAATACATGCAATGAAGGGCTGGTGAGGGAGCTCAGCTGTTAAGAGTACATGCAGAAGACCTGAGCTCCCAGCACTCATGTCAAATGGTTCATCAATGAATGAAACTCCAGCTCCAGAGGATGATTCTGCCCTCTCCAGGCATTGCACTCATGTGTACAAACCCACACTCAGATATTCACATATACACACAATTGTAAAATATGAAATCTTAAAAAATATATGGAATGAAATATTGAAATCAGATGTCGCATCTACTAGTGTCACTGGAGTCACTGGCCCTGGGAGGTCCTCACCTTGGGAAGAAGCCAGACTACAACACAAGGAAAGTGCTTGGCCTTCAGGCCCAGTTGAGCTCCCAACTGAATGCCTACTATCAACCTGACAGCCAGCTTTGGGATTAAGCCATCCTGAAAGTGATCCTTCAGTCCCTACTCAAGTTGCCACAGCTGATGTCACACAGACTCAACCCTGCTTAGCCCCACACAAAGAACAGAGTCATAATAAACTAAGTCAGTATTTGCCAGTGCTTGAAGTTATTAAGTGTGAGGATGGTTTAGTTCACATCAGTGGACAACTAAATTACTACACATACTCAGACAATGATGAAAAGAGCATCTAGCTTACTACTACTCACTGTAGATACTTCTTTTTAGTATTTCACCCATCCAACCTCTGAAGGTTCTAACATAGACCCACAAAGTCACCTCTTCTATTGATGAAAATTCTGGGAATTATGGCCTCTTGTAAGTTGTGCTTGAAGTATATATCTCTGGAGATGATCATTACTGTCTAATGTCTCTTCTTAACAAAATAATGTTAGCAGGGCGGCGGTGGTGGTGGTACATGCCTTTAATCCTAGCACTCTGAGGCAGAGGCAGGTGGATGTCTGTGAGTTCAAGGTTAGCATGGTCTACTGAGTGAGTTCCAGGACAGCCTCAAAAGCTACAGAGAAACCCTGTTTCGAAAAACCAAAAGAAAAAAATGTCTCTTCTTCAGGACATGCCTTCACCTTGCTAAATTGTACAGAACTCTTTACCACTAGCCAACTTTATAGGTAAGAAACCGGCAATGCACAAATTGGCTGCTTTACCCAAAATTGCACAACAGACACCTGAATTTCTGGCCTAAGGATTTTGCTTTAATAAGTACTATGTCTGATGACCATGAGACAAACACAAGTGTGTTCTTTATATTGAAATCACAATGTTCATACTTAGGCCATCATTTAGAGAACTTTTTTTAAGAAGTCAAGATCTCAGTCTCACAATTGACCACACTTGCACAGGGCAGCCTGAAACCCAGGAGGCTGGCCCTGAACTCACAAGCACCAATCCTCCCAAGTTGCTAGAATTATAGCTGTACATTACCATGCCTGGCCAAGAGAACTAGTTCTCATTTCTATTATTTAGGAATTTTAACATGGATAACTGGAAATTAACAATTACTTTTCTGTGCCACCCATCCTCACTTCAATTTTGCTTCAATATTTCCTGCTTTTACTCCAAAGGGCCAGTAAGCTCTTGGAGGGCAAGAATAATAATTTTGGCTCTTCCTTGGTGTTTAAATAAATATACATCAAATAATTTGCTTAGCTATTGAATGCAGTGTACAAATAACGAGAAAAGCATTTCTTTCCAAATGATTTACACAGAGATCTTGCAATCCAAAAGTATTTCTCATCATGTCAGTGTGGTAACTATGTAATAAGCTTTTTTTCCTTTTTCAGAGCCAGCAGCTATGGAAAATAGATTTCTTCCACTGTTGACTACAGTATGTAAGTTGCCATGACACTACGTAGCCCCAAACATTCTTTCTAATTGAGACAATTTCTCCTTGCTTCAGTCCCTTAAGGTTGACCTAATTACCCAACGCAAAACCTAAAACCCATGGGGTGACTGTTAACTCTTATACAACCTAACAAAAATTTAAACACTACTTTTCCAATGGTAATAAAATTATAGGCAACTCATTTTTTAAAAGTCTTATAGGTTGACTAATTGATCTAACCTTAAAACCACACAGACTTATACTCTACAACATTATGAAAACCTAACGTATCTCAGTTATTTCTGTAGGCTGTGTATTTACATTCAGTTCCTTCTAGTGAAAAACTGTAAGTTTCAAGAGATATTAAGACCAGGCTCAGCAGGAGTACCACTGGAGTGCTGGGGGCACAGATCAGCGGTAGAGTACCTGATGAGCATTCTGGGTTCTAGTTCCAGCACCACAAAAGAGATTTTAACTTTTATTATATACACACCCATAAACATGTTTATTTTACATATCCAGTAATATCTCTTACATCTCTACAACTACAGTACCTAGCAATGTTCTCAAAAAGGTTCCTTTAGTATTGTTACACATAATGTGTATGTATAAGTATGCATAAATATATAAATACAACCTACTAAGTCTGTTTTTACTGTTTATGTGTTTATGGTTTCAGGGCTGACCACTTTGTGTTGGATAAAATATGTAAAAAATAAAAATAAAAATGTTCAATGTTCCCATTTACACCAGAAAGTTTAATGCATGTTCGAATCCATGTGGTGGGGGAGGAGCACTTAGATGTTAGTATCCCCTATACTATACTACTATTCAGTACTTTTACTTAGACAAAGAGTACAAAAAAAGAAATCACAGAACACATCCACATGAAAGATCCCAAATACCAGGGTGTGGTAACACAAGTCCATCATTTCAGTACACAGTAGACTTGAGGTAGGTGTATTGCCAGAAGTTCACCGTCGGCCTGGGCCGTGTAACAGGCTAGCCAGAGGTATATAACAGATCATTGTCTCTAACCAGAAGTGGTGATACATGCTTGCAATTCCAGCAATCAGGAGAAGGAGGCAGGAGGACCAGACGGTCATTCAAAGCTATGAATTACATGAGATCTTGTCTCAAAATATAATAGATAAGATCGTGTTACAAAGTATAATACTGCAACAAGAACAAAAGATCCAAACTCACCAGAACTTTGTTAGTAGAAGTTAGCTTTAAGACAATTATTGTGAAAAAAAATGAGCCATAGCCAACCTAGACTACTGCAAAAAATGTAATCACACTTGTAGTTTTAGCCTGTGACCTTAAAACAAAAAGCTAAAAACCCAAAACCAACCAAAAAAACAAAAAAACAAAAAAACAAAAAAACTCCCTGGAGCAGGAAGTTCAAGTTTAAAGAGCATTTTTTAGCTAGGGATACCACTCAGTGGTAGAATGCTTCCCTAGTATAGTCCAATCCCCAGCACTGGGGAGAAAAATTTAAACAGCAGTGCTAGAAATATCAAAGCTGTCTAAAATGAATATTTTAAAATCCACCCACCAAATAACTTTAATAGGTACAATCTTCTTATAAAACAGAAAATAGGCCACTTTCCTATTGACAAAGTACTGCTAAAAGAGAAGAGGAATTAAAGGCCACATGGACCGGGCGTTGGTTTCGAACGCCTTTAATCCCAGCATTCGGGAGGCAGAGGCAAACGGATCTCTGTGAGTTGGAGGCCAGCCTGGTCTCCAGAGCGAGTGCCAGGATAGGCTCCAAAGCTACACAGAGAAACCCTGTCTCGAAAAACCAAAGCCAAAAAAAAGGCCACATGGCCCAGAGTCAAAGGCAAAAACCTGGGCGTTTAGATGAATACCTAAATACTGCAGGGGATTTGAAACGGTGAAGGATGATTCGTTATATCAAAACATTCATAACAAACTTAGTATAAAGTATTGTTTTGGTCAAAGGTGTTACATTAAGCAATAGTTAACCGACACCCACTTAAAAAAAGGATTTCTCATTTTGTTTGGGAAAACAAAATAATAGATGTCTATCAAAGTGTTTTACTAAGCAACTATACTGAGCAGAAATGAAGAACTATGTAGAAAGAGGAACCATTGTGAAATGTATGCCTAAGTAAGTGTGTTTTGTGCAAGATTGGGGGCCTTTTTCAAACCTTTTTGGGTTCTAGCTATATATAAGATAAAAATAAGGGCGTTTTCATTCATATAAAGCAATAATAAAAAAGACTTCCTGGTTTGTTAGGTACTTTCACCTTACACAACAAATTCCAAGACTGCCTCACTTTTCATTATTCCTTTCCGGTAAACGGAAGCGGAGGGAGAGCAAAGGTGGACATGAAACAGTCCATTTAGTAACTGAGTGGCACCAAAAGCCAACAGTCACCAAAAGCGATTTGTCGGGAAGGGCAGACAAAAGAGAAACAGCTCAGGAACACAAGCCGCGGAAAAGATGAGAAGCAGTCTGGTGTGTGTAATTCGACCAAACCCCTTTGGCCACTACTGGTGAAATGAGCTGATTGGAGATCCAGCATCCTTCCGGCTCTTTCCCTCCCGCGAGTCCATCCTGGGATAGGGAGTCAGGGTGCAGAGCCAAGTGAGAGGCCCCGGGGGTCTAGCTAGGCAGACCACCAACTCCTTTGAGCCCGCCCCCAAAGTCCTGCGTCCCGACTTCAGCTCCCTGAGCGCGCGCAAGAAAGGCAGTTGTGGGCCGACCGCTTTGCTGCCCGGTTCTCATCTGCTCTTTGGGATCCCCCCGAGGGGCAGCCCGGGAGGACGCAGAGTAGGGGAGCCCCCAAACATCACCTTCTCCCGCTGATCCCAGCTGTACAGCTTTGGCTGCTCCTCTCCCTCAGTCTTCGCCTCCTTCTCACTCTTCCGTCTCTTAGAGAAGCAGCAGCCCATGGTGCCGGCCTAAGGGTCTCACTAGTGGACCCCACGCGTTCGGACACCTCCAAGAGGGTGGCGGAAACCCAGGGCGACTCGGCCAGCAGCTCCCCGGACACCGCCCAGGAGAGCAGCCTAGCCGCCCACAACCCTCAGCACTCCCTCCAGGCCCAATACCCTTCTCCTTTTTACCACCCCTCGGTCGCCTTGACGACCTATGGCAGCCAATAAACTGTCAGCAGCCACTGAGCCAATCAAAACCCTGCAAGCTGCTCTGCGCCTATGAGCTCAGCACGAAATACTCATTCACCAATCCAAGCCAGGCTCTTATGTCAGAGACAGTACTGGCCGGCTCTGTTGCACTCTTAAAGGCCCCAGCCCTCCAGGACGGTCCTGTCCCGCCCCCAGCACTCCCCTCCGGGAACTAGGCTGAGCTAGCTGGCGGATGTTGTACTAGCCTGAGTCCCTTTCCCCTAACGTGGTGCTCAAGTTTCCAAAGTTTCTAAAGTCGAAGCTTTGGAGAGGATGCCATGTGGAATAGTAGATTTGTTTTAGGACATAAATCACGAGAGAAAAAGAATTTCTTTTAAAAATATTTACTCATTTCATTTGCATTGGTATTGTGTCTATATATGTGTCTGGAGTTCGAGACAGTTGTGAGCTGTCATGTGGGTGCTGGGAATTGAACCCGGGTTCTCTGGAAAGAGCAGTCAGTGCTCTTAAGCACTGAGCCATCTTTCCAGCCCGAAAAAATTCTTGCTGACGTAGTAAAAGACCTAAATTTTGTGTCCTTCACTCCTCCCCCTCAGCACCCTTCTCATAGGCCCCACAAGCTTCTGGTCAAGTTGTGCATGTCTGGTGTCAATGGAGGTTAAGAAAGGCCTCAAATCTCCTGGTTACTGATAGGCGTAAGCCACCACGTGGTTGCTGAGGACAGTACCCTGGCAAGAGGAGTAGGTGTTCTTAACCACCGAGTCATCTTTCCAGCCCCTTTGTGAGTTTTCTAAAAACTTCCATTTATCTCTCCAAAACTGGGCAAGTATCTATCTAGTAAAATAACCGCGTATTGTCTCCTTACTAGAGCAGTGGATTTGACAGCAAAAGAATATCATAAAGGGGAATGTACCTTTGAATCTTTCAGCCTAGGTGCTCAATAAAATGTTTATCACGTGATTGGATGCATCTACCAACAGAAGCACATATAACTTTCTCCTTATATCTTCCCAAAGAAAATGACCCAATTGTGGAGGTGGGGGAGCCATGTGGAGTTATCACAAAGGGATTTTTTGAACTCAAGCCATGAATAGCCTATTAGAGAATATAAACCCTGACATATAAACAATCAGCTCTGTTCAAAGCAAATGGTACAAAGATTGCCTGAATATAAGAATATACAAGATTATCAATGCTTATTGTATTTGGGTGGACTTTTAGTACAACACAAATGTACTGTTTTCATAATAGATAAGTTAATTTCTCTGAGGTATAATATTTCAACATCATGATAGGACATCAAATGCTGATCAATTCAGTCTCAAATTGTTTATCTTTTTATTTTACCACACCTATCATATTTAATGTGGATTCTGAATGAGCCTCTGGTTTAATTTGGGCATTAATATTGTTCCCATTTCATTTCCTGTCCTTTTGCACAATCAGGAAGAAACGTACAAGGCTTAAAAATTACAAATGACTAGAAATTTAAGTTCCAGATCTTGGTCAGTAAAGGCTGTTCATTACACCTTTTTTTCTTCAGGGTCAGATTAAAGGTCTGTGTGAGGACAGTTTTGGATTACAGCCTTGCTGCTAGTTTATATTCCTAGAATAGCAAAACTTTGACCACTGTATAGTGCAGAATAAGAAGCTGAGATCCAGGGATGAATCTGTGACCACAATGACAGTAATTGAGAAAGTACTAGAAAAACCCAGAACCTGTGCTGTCTGGATCCTTTTCCTGTTTTTATATTGTTCCTCTCTAATTGGTCAGAGATAAAGAAATAGAGATGCATCCACCTCAGCCTTCTGGTGCCTATGGGAGTTCTTCATGAATATACTACTCAATAAAAACTAATTTTAGAGAAATAATTTCCAAAACTCATTGCTTTGAAATAGTGCTCATGAGAAATTCAAACCTGAAACAAAACCTAAATCACCCTGTCATTTTCTCAGAGACCCTCAAATAAAAGTGAAGGATAAGGCTCCTCTCTATTAGCTCTCAGCCCACTGTCAGTCTAAACCTCAAATCAAATTAAACTAAAATTAAACTGAAATTTTACGGTTGTAGCTGGGTATGGTGATCTATTCCCAGCATTTGAGAGGTAGAAGTATGAGGAAGTTCTAGACCCATCTGGGCTCCTTGAGACACTGTCTCCTCTTTTTCCACATAGCTCTCCAGCTGCCCAAGAAAACCCAGGACTAAAAAAAGCTAATAAACAAAGGGAGGATTAGTGATTTCTTCTGCTCTCTTGCTGTTTTTTTTTTTCTTTAAATGCACTAGGGATTGAACCTAACGCATTGCACATGCCAGGCAAAGTGCTCTACCACCGAGCCATATATTCAACACCTCCCTGTACCTTTAGAAAGTGCTTTAAATTTTGAGACAGGGTCTGGCTACCAAGAAAGGCCTTAAACAGAGTCCTCCAGTCTCTGTTTCCCAAGTAGTTGAGATCACAGGCACATGTCTGTCTTTCTTTTACTTTTTTCTCCCTGTCTCTCTTTAGTTCCTCCCACCATGAAGTCTCATAACGATTTTTTGCAAACCAGCTATGTACTTACTAATAAGCATATACATAGCAGCTAACTGCCATCCTACCTTGAGTCCTTCTGGTTCTTCTGTCCCAATGTATAATGAGCTCCTTATGTGTTAATTCAGACTCTGAAGGGAGATAACCTGGCAAGTTTCTGGCCATTTAATTGTCTATAATTTGATGTGTACACATGTTCTGATTGCTTCAATGGCAGGAATGGGTTCCTTATTACAGAAGTAGATGGTGAACAAGTCCTACAAAGATTTGTGCTGGCCACAAGCGTAAGTTCAATTACTCCTTCTGCCTGGATCCTTCCCACTATTTACACTCCTGTTATTTCTTTCTGTGGAAAGCTTCCCTTTGTGTTTGGTTTTATACACACATTTCATCTGCATTACAATGTTGAGTTGTTGCTTCATGCCTGACCTTTATACCTAAGATTGAGAGATAGTTCTGGTTCTCCTAAGTCTTGACAACAGAAGTGACATAGTTACTTCCCAGAAGACAGCTTTGAAGCCATATATTTTTACAGCATGAATAGGTCAATAATTCTAGCAATGTTAGCTAGAAAATCCCCCATGTTGGCCAGACATGTCCTTGCTCACTCTGTACCCACCTGAGGGACACACTTCACATCAAGTGGAAGAGGGAGAGAGAGAAGGAGCATTTTAGTTATCCATTGATATCTTTTTTTTTTCGAGACAGGGTTTCTCTGTGTAGCTTTGGAGCCTATCCTGGCACTCACTCTGGAGACCAGGCTGGCCTTGAACTCACAGAGATCCGCCGGCCTCTGCCTCCCAAGTGCTGGGATTAAAGGTGTGCGCCACCAACGCCCGGTTCTATCCAAATCTTAATGGCTTAAAAATTGCCAGTTTTACTCATGAATCTGCATTTTACGAAGGATTTGAGAGCTACAGCTTAACTTTGATCCATAGTACATCTGTACACTAAGCTGGGCTAGCTCTAATAATCAGAAGGAATCACATATACCACTATATGACATCTCAGGGCCTTTCCTCACCATCTCCAGCATAGTTGTACTCCATATGTTGTACTCAGACTCCAAAAGTGAGTGATCAAGAGACCAAGGCAAATGCTATAAGGTCATGTATAGCATCACCTCAGAAGCCACACATCACTTCCACTGTATTCAATTAGCTACCGGAGGCCCACTGTGACTCATGAAGACCAAACAAAAACAATAAGTACTGTAAAGTATAGATCTTTTAGGTGTCATCTCAGAGGCTGGAATTTTATGACGTGGTCTCTTTATAATCTTATGAATAAAGGGAAAACACAATCAGATGATAATTTTTAAAATCTGGATGTAGTGGTGCACATGTGCAATCCTAGTGCCGAAGAAGTGGACATCTCTGGGGCTTGCTGGACAGCCAATCTAGCCTAATCAGGGATCCCCAGGTCCTGGTGAAAGACACTGTCTAAAAACACAAGATAAATGGATCTTGAGGAATGACACTCAATGTTGGCCTCTGGCCTCCACATGCGCACACACAGACCCCTCACCACACACATGTATGTGCACACATAAACACAAAATAGTTTCTGGCCAGGTATATCGGCACATGCCAGAACTTGGGAGGCAGAGATGGGTGGATCTCTGTGAGTTCAAGGCCAAGCTGGTCTACATAGTGAGCTCTAGGACAGCCTGAGCTACATAATAGAGAGGCATGATACCCTTTTCCTACCTGCAAAGATACTTTCTGGGCTAAAAACATTCTTTAGTGGAATTTCCACTTTCCAAATATTCATTTCAATGCTTTTTTAAAGAAAAGGACAAAATAAAACCTCAAAACAAATGAGAATGTGTTAGAAAATCTAGTTTTTTTTTAAAACTGAAAATAGAGTCTTCTCTCATATAATACATCCTGATCACAGTTTCTGCCTTGCCTAGTTACAGAAGATGGCCAGTTCAGACTCCATATCCTCTATTGCTAGGAGTCCTCTCTAGGGTCACCCTCATAGATTTCAGGAGGTTTCCACTGTACTAGGATTCCACAGCACCCCTAAAGGCCTCCCCCAATTCCAGCCATATCTCCCCACACTCTCTTCCTCTCTCCTACCCTCCACCTGATCCCTTACACTGCTATCCACACTGGCCCCCAGTCCACCCATAAAATCTGTTCTATTTCCCCTTCCCAGGGAGATCCATGTGTCCCACCTAGAACACTCTGGGTCTGTGCACTGTAGCTTGGTTATCATTTGCCTAATGGCTAATACCCCACTTATAAGTGAATACATGCCATATTTGTATTTCTATGCCTGGGTTCCTCACTCGTGATGATTTTTTCTAGTTCCATCCATTTGCCTGGAGATGTCACTTTTTAAAACAGCTGAGTAACGCCCAATTGTGTAAATGTACCACATTTTCTATATCCATTCTTTGGTGGAGGGGCATCTAGGTTGTTTCCAGTTTCAGGCTATTATGAATGAAGCT